AAAACAGTTTAAAACATATTAAATGATTTGGCCCTATATTAAAAACTAAAACACCCATTAAAATCCATTCTTAAGCCAGCCCAGCCTGTTGAAACAGTAGTCTTAATGGCACTGCGTCCCTTTCTGGATCGGGACTCGTTACGCACGGTCACTCATGCCCTCGTCACCTCCCGTCTGGACTATTGTAACGCTCTCTACATGGGGCTCCCCTTGAGGAGCACTCGGAGGCTCCAACTGGCGCAGAGTGCGGCCGCGCGGGTGGTGATGGGAGCGACGTGGCGCTCCCATATAACGCCTCTCCTGCGCGAGCTGCACTGGCTCCCGGTGGTCTTCCGAGTGCGCTTCAAGGTTTTGGTCATCACCTTTAGAGCGCTCCATGGCTCAGGACCTGGTTATCTACGGGACCGCCTGCTACCACCAATAGCCTCCCACCGACCAGTACGCTCCCATAGAGAGGGGCTCCTCCGGGTGCCGTCGGCCAAACAATGTCGACTGGCGGCCCCCAGGGGGAGAGCCTTCTCTGTGGGGGCACCTACTATCTGGAACGAGCTCCCCCCCGAGATACGGAGGATTCCGGATCTGCGTACCTTCCGTCGCACGCTGAAGACGTTCCTATTCCAGCAAGCCGGCCTGACCTAAACTTCTCCTCTTTTAAATGGGAATTTTAAATTTGGTTTTAAATTATTGGGGTTTTAAATATGGTTCAGCCAAATTTATCTAACTTGTTTTATTTCTATTTTAAATTTTGTATTGATATGTTTTATTTCATGGCTGTTCACCGCCCTGAGTCCTTCGGGAGTAGGGCGGTATACAAATCTAATAAACAAACAAACAAACAAACACGGCGAAAGGTGCGAAGGTCGGGGATCCGACGAATCTCCAGGGACAGTTCATTCCAGAGGGCAGGTGCCCCCACAGAGAAGGCTCTCCCCCTGGTGGTCGCCAGTCGACATTGTTTGACCGACGGCACCCTTAGGAGTCTCTCTCTGTGGGAGCGTATTGGCCAGTGGGAGGCTATCGGTGGCAGAAGGTGATCTCGTAAGTACCCAGGTCCTAAGCCATGGAGCACTTTAAAGATGATGACAAGCAACTTGAATCGCACCCGGAACACCACCGGGAGCCAGTGCAGCTCGCACAGGAGCGGTGTTACATGGGTGCGCCATGTCGCTCCCATAATCACCCGCGCAGCGGCATTCTGGACCAGTTGGAGCCTCCGAGTGCTCTTCAAGGGGAGCCTCATGTAGAGAGCATTTCAGTAGTCCAGACGGGAAGTGACGAGGGCGTGAGTGACCATGCGTAAAGCATCCCAGTCCAGAAAGGAATGCATCTGGTGAATCAGGCGAACCTGATAAAAAGCCCCCTTGGCCACAGCCGTCACATGATCTTCTAAAGACAGCCGGCGATCCAGGAGGACGCCCAAGTTACGAGCCCTCTCGGGGGGGGGGGACGCCGGGAACCACAGCCACTCGGTCTTGGAGGGGTTGAGTCTGAGCTTGTTTCTCCCCATCCAGATCCGCACGGCCTCCAGGCACCGGGACATCACGTCAAGGGCATCATTGGGGTGGTCCGGGGTGAAGATGTACAGCTGAGTATCATCAACATACTGATGGCACTTCATCCCAAAACCATGGATGATCTCACCCAGCGGCTTCACATAAATGTTGAACAGGAGGGGCGAGAGGACCGACCCTTGCGGCACCCCACAATCAAGGCTCCTCGAGGTCGACCTCTGTCCTCCCACCAACACAGATTGCGTACGGTCAGAGAGGAAGGAGAACCACCGCAACATGGTGCCCCCCATTCCTAACCCCTCCAACCGGCGCAGCATGATACCATGGTCGATGGTATCAAAAGCCACTGAGAGGTCTAATACCTGAGCCACTGAGAGGTCTAATACAGAACAACCCCTCTCCCGAGCCCTCCAGAGATCATCAACCAATGCAACCAATGCCGCATTTCATTGCAGCACGTTTCCGTGCTGTACCCCAGCCTGAAGCCCGACTGGTACGGATCTAGATAGACAGCTTCATCCAGGTACTGGGGAAGTTGTCGCGCCACCACACTCTCAACAACCTTCGCCACAAAGCAAAGGTTGGAGACTGGACGATAGTTTGCTAATACAGCCGGGTCCAGGGAAGGCTTCTTGAGGAGGGGCCTCATCACCGCCTCTTTCAGGGCAGAGGGAAAGAGGCCCTCACTCAAGGAAGTGTTAATAATCACCTGAAGCCAGACTCATGTGACCGCCCGGGAGGCCAGCACCAACCAGGAGGTGCCACGGGTCCAATAAACATGTGGCAGCACTAAGTCTACCCAGAATCCTGTACACGTCCTTGGGAGTCACATGGTCAAACTCCTCCCAGATAACACTCTGAAGACCCACCTCCATCACCCCATCTGAACCTACCCAGTCGGAGTCCAGACCTTCCTGAATCTGAGCGATTTTATCATGCAGATATTGCACAAAATCCTCAGCCCTATCCTGTAAGGGGTCTTCCCAACTGAAGTAGGGAGCGGGTCACCCTAAACAGGGCGGCAGGGCGGTTCTCTGGAGACGCAATAAGAGCGGAAAAATAATTAGATTTCGCTGCTCTTATCGCCACTAGGTAGATCTTAATATGAGACTTCACCAGTGTTCGGTCAGATTCGGAACAGCTGGCCTTCCAATCGCTCTCCAGGGGTCTTTTCCGGCACTTCATCTCCCTCAGCTCCTCAGAAAACCAGGGAGCCAATTGGGATCGGCACCAGGTCAGAGGCCGCAAAGGCACAACGCGATCCAAAGCTCCAGCGGCCGCCCTATCCCAGGTGGCCACCAGTTCTTCAGTCGAGTCGTGAGCCAGAGCCTCAGGGAGTGGCCCAAGCTCCATCAGGAACCTATCCGGATCCATCAGGCGCCTAGGATGGAACCACCTAATCAGTTCCATCTCCCTGTGATGGAGGGTAGCGGCTCAAAAGTCCAGTCAAAGGAGTGATCTGACCATGACAAGGGCGTGATGACTATATCCCCTATTTCTAGATCATTCAATCACTGACCAGAGACAAAAATCAGATCCAGAGTGTGTCCCCCCATGTGAGTGGGGCCTTGAGTGGGTCAGGTCCATGGCCGTCATGGAAGCCATGAACTCCCGAGCTGCCTCTGACATTTCACCAACAGATGGCAGGTTGAAATCCCCCATGACTATAAGTTGTTTTGTTTCTCCAATGTACAGATCTGTATGTCTCACTGCATTGTATTGTACATATCACATTGCCCAGTTTGTGCCTGGGTGTTTTATGCTTGGAGTGGACAAGCTTCTGCCTTAGTGTATTCTTGGGTTTAAAGTGTGCATGTACGCTGTGTTGGTTGAAAATCCTCCTGAGCTTTTCAGATATTTCTGCACGGCATGGAATGACAATGTTGCTTCATTTGTTGTTCTCTTCTTTATCTGTTATGGAGGCGCTCCTGCTGGCTCTTTTTCTGGATTTGATGAAATCCCAGTTGGGATAGTCACAAGTTCTGAAGGTTTCCTTGATGTGTTTTAATTCTTTTCTTTTCCCTCTTTACTGGTAGACAAACTTTCATGCTGGTGGTGTAGGGTTCTGAACACTCCCATTTTGTGCTCACCACCCACTTAGATCTCCACCTCTCTTCTGTACTTTTCAGTACCCTGCTTCCATCTTTCTTTCAAACAACCAGGTCTGCCTGTCCATTGGTGTCCTTTACTACACCAATTTGAGGTTGGAATCTCCTTCTGAGTTGAAAGACCTTCTTCCGTGTCTGTTTCTACCTTCAGTGTTGTTATAGATGTAATATTGTGCCTTGTCTTTTCTACCAGCTTTCTCAAACTGCTAAGTCTTCCCAAGTTTTTTGTCTTTCTTGACTTTGGCCTCTTTTTTTCCTTCTTGACAATTTCCAGTTTGTTCTGACATCCAGCATGCCTCCTTCTGTTTCTTCATCTTTAGCACTTTATTTTCACTTTCACATTTGATACCCTTCCATGGTTCCTCTTTACACATCAATTAGTTCAGAACTCAAAGCGATTCCTGGTGTTGTCTTTGAAAATGGGAGTTATAAAGCCATAGTGGTGCAGTAGTTAGAATGCAGTACTGCAGGCTACTTCTGCTGATCACCGGCTGCCAGCAGTTTGGCAGATCGAATCCCAGCAGGCTCAAGGTTGACTCAGCCTTCCGTCCTTCCGAGGTCAGTAAAATGAGGACCCAGATTGTTGGGGGCAAGAGGCTGACTCCGTAAACCGCTTAGAGGGCTGTAGAGCACTGTGAAGCGATATATAAGTCTAAGTGCTATTGCTATTGTTATATGCTGAAGAGCGTATTGTGGAAACTAGAAATCTTTATTCTTTTGCTTTAGTCCGATTGGGAATTTGCACATGAGCAGTTTGCAATCTGTCCCAGTCAACCCAGTCCATGTTTTGCTATTATAATTGCACTTTCTCATCTCTCAATATAGTCAATATGTATCAATATAGTCAGTTTGATTTCTGTCGGGATTATTTTGATTTGAAGAATATGTTTGTTAGCAATGAAGAAATCATTGTCAGTTTGATATAAAATGACAAATTGTTTTCTCGTTTATCTATTCTAAACCATTTGGTCTAGCACTTTTTCTCATTATTTCTAACTTTGGCATCATTCAGCATTATATCATCAATCACCTTAAATTGTTTAGCCACATGGTAAAAATTGGTAAAAATACATTGATCATTGTTTTCTCATTACAAGATGCCTTTGCTTTTGGTGACAAAAATGATGGTTTGCCTCCCGCATCTTCCTGTGTCGCAGCTGCCCATAGGGATGTCTACCTCTTTAGCTGGAAAGACTTTGGGCCTTGGCTGACCGCACTGGGTGTGAACAGCTTTCCGCCACTTTGGCTCCTCTTTCCCAGGAGCAACACACACATCCCAAGGCAGTTTAGCAGGGCTTGGAAGGAGAGATGGAAACATCTACTATGTATCAAATTCTCACAGGATCAAAATGGGTGACAAAAAAGGAAGACAAACAACAGGTACATGTTGCATTTCTATTGGGTACAAAGATACATAGAACAGAAAGTCTATTGTACAACAGCATTAAAAATTGGAAGATTTTCTTGACACTGCAGAAGACAAGAGAAAAGTATGGGCAAAGATGATCTCCCCATCTTACAATCTGTGGGGCCCATTTGCAACAGTTCATTCTCTTCTTGCCAGCTGACCGAGTGGAGGAAAATTTCAGCAGCAATTGAACCCCACAGAAAACAGGGCCCCCAATCTTCCACTTGGGGCAGGGGTTACATTGTACAAACTGTAGTAGTAATTCTCATTTCCTAAAACTCTGGTCTATTTTTCCCTCAGAACTGCTATCTGGGAGTGGGGGGAGGGAGGAGAGGAATAGGGCGCGTCGGGAAGATGGGCCTTGCACTCAACAGTGAGCACCCCTCCCAAATCTCTCTCCTGAAGTGGAAAGGAAGCTACTAGCAATAGAAGAATTTTATATTAATACTTAAAATGGCCCTGATTTAGCATCTATCTAAAAAAATTAAGTTTATGATTGCTTTTAAGACCAAAAGTGGCACAAATTAAAATAACGAATTGGCTATAAGTGAAGAAGGGTCCAAATGAACAAAATTACCAAAAAACCTCCGAGGACACCTCCTCACCACACGATTCTGTAGACAAACGATCCATCAAAAGTGCTATTAGGACATACTTCAGGCAGCCAAAGAGTTGGACCCAGGTTGTTCTAGTTCCTGGGCCCATCGCCTAGGTGGTCTGGACTGGGAGGTTAAGCTTTGTCTCCTTGAAAGTTACACACAGGAGAATTAACTTTGCCACCCAAAATTCACCAGGCACAAACACAGACAGGAATGCTTAGCATGTGCAAAACAGTTAAGGAAGCAAAACCTTTGGATTAAATCTTTAGTACATACATACACTTGCTTGTGTCTGTGTGTTTATGTGCATGCACATATATAATTATAGAGGCAACTGTGAAGTCATAAGGCTATTGAGACATCAATTCTGGAAGTAGCAAAGTCCTGGAGATGATGCCTCCTCCATCCACACCCATGAAGGGGGCACCTTGGTCTCTCTCCCCATGTCACAGTAACACATCAGCTTTATTCCCCACCTTCTCTCCCCCAACCCCACCCACCCCGCCCTGCAAACTACAAACTAAAAAGAATAATCTACCACATTATCAAACTCCTGAGTCTCCAGCACTGGCTTTAAAGGGCAGATCTGGTAATTTTTTTAAAAAAGAGAAAATTTCAGGAAAAAAAAAATCAACCCTCAAAGTCTCACTGGGATTTTTGCTTTGCATCTGCATTAGTATGGCACTCACTGAGAGCTACAACAGCCAGATGTTGCAGTGGGTGGAGGTCAAAATTAGCAAGCTTCCCCCGCTTTGCTTCCCACCTTTTAAAAGGATCATGGCTGGATTTGCCACACCCCTAGATGTTCACACAGCACCACGCGGAGAACAGAGTCAATCTCATTTATAGATCTAAATATAAAAGGTGGATGTTGCTGCTGTACATCATGTTGGATAATAGAGATATTATTTTAAAAGCCAAAAAAGCATTCAGTATTGTCAAAAGCTTTAACCTGAAAGCCCCGGAACAGTTTTCATCTGAGCACGGGGCTTCAAAAGAGGAATAGATCCACCTGGAGAAAGCTGCAACCTGCCCACATTTCCTTCACCTTTATGGAGCAGAGTTAGCAGCTTCCTCTGCTGGCTGCCTGGGTGCCAGGCCTGTGCTCAGTGCCCCAGGCTGCTCAGGGGGCCCTGGGTGGCCCATTGTCTGGGCCAGACCAAAGCCCTCTCCTGCCTGGGGGCCCTGCAGGGCCAGCTCCTCCGGAATGCCATGGGGCTGATCCTTAACCTCTGTCCCCGTGGTCAGAGATGCAAAGGCACACAGATCCTGGACCTTTTTATTCAGGTCATTGCGTTCGGTTTGCAGGGCCCGACACAGCTTCTCAAGGCGCTGGATTTTCACTTGGAGCCCTTCCAGTTCTTTGTCCCGTAGGGTTTTCTGCATAGGAACAGCAGCATCAATTTCAGAGTCAGTTTTTGGAAGGAAGCATCTGAAGGAAGTTCAGAAGACAAGCCGATGGCCAACAATCTCACCCCAAGTGGGCTGGGATTAGCCCAGCCCACTTACTTCAGCAGACCCCATTTGTCAAGGGATTTTGGTTGGAGCTGCCAAGGAGAAGACCCTTTTGCACTGTGGACCCTGCCCCGAAGAACATCCTACCCTCAGAGGTAAGATCTGCTCCCCCACTCAGCCTTCCAGAGGGGCCTTAAAACTTGCCTTTGCCGGTTGGTTTGGAGTGCCGATGGAGGCACTCCTTGCTGTAGATGGTCGGCAGGATAAGTCCTCAGCCCTGCACCATCCATCTCCTTGGTCTCAGATCTTAGGTAACTTTAAAAACTTTTCACTGTTTCTAGATTTATCTTTATTTTTATTGTTTTTAAGTCTTTTGTGAGAAATAGATGGCTTAAATCTCTATTTAGGAAGGCTGTCCTGTTTAGCTACGTTCCACCTCCACCCACCCCCCAATGCGAAAACCTCGGTTTCTCCAGAGGGCCACATTACCTCTTCCGCCATTTCTAGAAGGGCTTTGTTGCTGCTTTCCCACCGGGATCTGTACATCGTTGTTTCTTTCTCCAGCTTCTTGATCTTCTTGGTCATCTATGCAGTGGCAACAGAAACAAGGAAAGAGCAGTTACAAAGCGCCTCCTACTTTTCCAAGACTCTGTGAGCTGAGCCTGTCCTGTTGATCTTCAGTAAGCCAAGAACTGGGATTATGGAATATTAAAGACTAGATTGAGTGATGTGGTTCTTGCTCTTGCAATCAAAGGCAGTTGAGTATGGATCAAATCACTGATTTCTTTACAAGGAAGATAGCCTTGTATGGAAGTATAGAAACAAACAAGAAATGAAAATATTTCACTGAGTCCTGATAGGTACAAAAACAGTGGCAATGCTACAAACTTGTTTTATGGGGAAAAAAGCACTTTTCTTAGAAACGAGGAAGTGAACACTCCTAAGTATTTATCAAAAGCAGCTCCAAGCATGATAATGAATTGTCAAAAGAATTTAAATTTTTCTGACACTGATAATGCTGCAAATATATTCAAAGTGAGAAAGTATTTACAGAGAAGCAATGTGCAATAATGGCTAGAAAGCAGGAGATTGTTTTAATTATGGCCAAAATATTTAATTATTTTAATCAGTTTTTAGATTTTGTATGTTTTGTATGTATGTCTTGTTTTTACTTTGGCTGTTCACCACCCTGAGTCCTATATTGGAGAAGGGCGGTATAGAAATTTAAACAAACAAATAAATAAATAAATAAGATGGCGAGTTCTAGTCCCAGTTTAGCTGTGAAAGCCAGCTGAGTGGCTTTGAGCCAGTCTCTCTCAGCCTAACCCACCTCACAGGGTTGTTTGTGGTAGGGAAAATAAGAGGGGTGTCTTTTGGATATTTTTGCTGTCTTATTTGTAAAAATAATAAAGGTGGGATATGACTAAATAAATGGATGGATATATCTTGGATGGGATGGGAATATAAGATTCTGCAAAACATTTCTAAAATTTTAACGTCTTCATCTACAAGAATTGGCACCGGTCAATCAGAGACTCCCCCTATCCCACCCCGCTCCTGCCCCAATAGCCTTGATCCACTGTATACCTTCTCCATTTCTTGCTTGAACGTGGTGAACACTTCACTGCTTTTGGAAAGGGTGTTTTGAAACTCTTCAAACTTCTCTGTATAAAGAGCCAGCTGAATCAGAGAAAGCAGAGAGGAATGATTGCTTGGAACATTCATGTTTGCAGCTGTTCTATAGGGTCAGGTGGGAGAAAGGAAACTAGGATGGCACCACGTGCTGGCAGGAGGGCAAATTCCTCTTCTCCAATCCCCGAGAGCAGTGGCTGTAGCCAAGTCCCATCCCAGGATGCCTATGGGTTCAGGCGGTGTTCAAAAAGTCAAGATGGCAGTTGCAAGCAACTAAGTATATAAGAGCCCTGGTGGGGCAGCAGACTAAAGCACTGTTATTAACATCAGCTGCCTGCAATTACTGCAAGTTCAAATCTCACCAGGCTCAAGGTTGACTCACCTTCCATCCTTTCAAAGGTAAAATGAGGACCCGGATTGTGGGGGTAATAAGATGACTTTGTATAAATATATACAAAAGTATGAAGGCTATTGCTTAATACATTGTAAGCCGCCCTGAGTCTCCGGAGAAGGGCGGCATATCAATCAAATAAAAAAAAAAAAAAAAAGTACATCCCTGATCCTGTTTTGATCCTGCACCACTACCTAAAAGCCACCATTTGGACATCTGTCACAGATGGCTCAGATCCACCCCAAATTTGGTTTGGGAAAGACAGTGTCTCATTTCTTAGAGCCTTGCAACCCCAAAATAAGTTCCAAGCTCCCTTTCTGGGAAGTGACAAACATCCCTTAGGCTAAAACAGGGATCTCCAACCTTATAAGACCTGTGAACTTCAACTCCCAGAATTCCCCAGCCAGCCATGTGCACAGGTCTTAAAAGTTGCCAAGATTGGAGATTGCTGGACTAAACCAACTGAACCAGAGCAAAGATGCCCCCTGCCACCCCACCTGCTGCTTAAGATGCGCCTCCTGTTGCTTCATCAACTCACACATTCTCTGGGACTCCACGGCCTCTTTCAGCAGCTGCAGGAGAGAAGGAAGAGGAGAACAAGAAGGAAAGTTAGTGCCACCCCTGGATGAGGAAAAAGAAAGTCTCGCTGACTGGCAGGGACTTTCCTTCCATAGAAGGCCTGCTTCTGCTCCCCCCAGCTGCTCTTCAGCCTCTGCTCCCAAATGGTGGAATCCAAGGATGAAGGCAAAAGCCTGGCATCTGCTCCTTCTAGAAAGTTCTTTCCAAATCCGGATCTCCCTGCTTCACTGATAAATGGGTCTGATGAGGACAAGATATGCTGCCACCAATAAGGAGATCTCTTTGAACACTGTGGCTGCATACAGGCAGTCCTCAGCTTAGGACCCCAACTGGGATAAGAATTTCCGTTACTAAACAAGGCAGTTAAGGGTTAAATGAGTTGTATCTGATTTTATGACTTTTTTGCCACAGTAGTTAAGCAAAACATTGCAGTTTTGCAGGGAACCACACGGTTGTTAAACAATCTGGATTTTGGCCACTGACTTTGCTTGTTGGAAGCCAGTTGGGAAGGCTGCAAATGGCGACCATGTGACCCCGGGACCCCGCAACCATCCTGAATGGATGCCAGTTGCCAAGCACCTGAATTCTGATTACATGACCATGGAGATATCGCAACGATTGTTAGTAAGAGAACAGGTCATAAGTCACGTTTTTCAATGGCCTTGTAGCTATGAACAGTCGCTAAACAAGCAGTTGTAAGTCAAAGACTACCATAACTGGTTATTAGAACTCCTGACAACTCCACCACAGTCTCCTGGGATTTTCAGCCTCGGCCTCTTCCACGGCAGCTCAAGATCCTTTCTCCTTTTCTTAAGCTGCCCCAGAATCTGCTCTCTCCTAATACTTCCTAAGCCTGTTTGAGGAGGGCAACGTGGCCGTCTCTGGGCTTTCTGTTGGTTAAACAAAGACGCAACCATGCAAAGCCTCACAAAGTCCTTTTCCCGTTGGTGCCTCTCCTCCGCCTCTTTCAACATCTCCTGAGCCTGCTGGAGTTTGGCGTCCACCAACTGCTGCTGCAGGTCCTTGTGTTTGAAGACCTTGTCGATGTGCTGCCAAGAGAAACACAACAGGCATCAGCCGAAGGCAGCCGCAGCTGAGCTCAGCGCCAAACTCCCAAGCCTGATCCGAAGGCAAAGATCCTTCCCCAAAGGGAGCCTTGCTTGTACCAACACTGATTCAGACCTGTGAGAGAAAAGGCTGAGATATTTTCTGGGCATGAAATGGTGCATTTGGATACACACGGATAGAGTCATCCATGACAACATGGAGACACAGAAAGGTTTTCCTGAAGGGGGCAAGCAACTAAGGAAGGGTAAAGCTTCTTTCAAGCTATGCTCAGTCCCTGGTGACCCAGGCCTCCTGTGCGAATGGCAGCAGTATGGGGGAGGCTGGCCCCTGCCTTCGTCCAGCATGGCTTGGGAGCTCCATAACGGAACCTGCAGCCCCAGCATCGCTGCAGAAGAATGCCGCAGAGCTCGCATTAGCAAAGCAAAGCAAAGCAAGGTGCTCCATTGCTGGGCTCCGCAATATGATCACTGAAGCAGTCGTCTTTTTTTAAGCAGCCACAATTCAATGGGGCCCTTTGGAAAATGGCAACTGCTTCCAGAATTGTGCCATGTGGCCCAGCAACGGAGGGGCCTGACTTCCCCTCCCCTGACCTCCTGAGATCTTCAAAGAGTAAGTGAGGGGGAGGGTGTGGGGCCCAGTGGGATGGGAAGCAGGCCCAAGAAGTGGAGGGGCCCCAAGGGGTGAGAAGTGGAGCAACGGGTGTCTCAGGGGGTGTGGGACGGCCTCCCCCACGAGAGGCACCCCATGCTGCACTTAATGACTGCATCAGGGAGAGCAGGGATGGGGAAGTCACCATTTGACACCGTAATGGGTAACCTGCATTATGGCCATAAGTCAAGGACTACCTAGACACTCCCATTTCTAGTGCACAGAAGAGCTGTGGAATGACCAAGGAGCCAACTAAGTCTTGCAGGAAAAGGCTTCTCTGAGAGAGGAGACCTATATAAGGGGCTGGTGGTACAGATGAAGAGCAGGCCAAGGAGTGGGGGGGGGGGGTGCCACCCTTCAGCTTTTCCCTCCCTGCTGCGCCTGCTCACCTCCTCTCGCAGTTCATATTGTTCTATGAGCTTCTTCAGCCTTTCGGCCAGCTCCATGTTCTCCTGGCGCAGTTTGGAGTTGCGTTCATTGTGCTGTTCCATCTGTAGCTGGATGTCATTGAGCATCACCTGGAAGTGGGATGTTACCTCCTTCCTCTTCTCTTCCTCCTCCCGAGCTCGCTGGACACCCTCCTCCTGTGGAGGCAAGTTGAAGAGCCTCACAGAGCAGAACAACAACTCCAATAATGCGACTTCCGGTCGGCACCGCAGGCTCCGTGGACGGTCTTTTAAGACTGCCAGCCCTGTGTCTTCGTAAAAGCCGCTTTGACAGCGCAAACCAGCTGTCTGGCGGCTGAAAAACCTCCCCTTCGGGAAAAGGAGAGGAGAGCTGGTGGGCGAGAGTAGAGCTCCCCGAAAGCCCTCTGGAATATTTCCAGAGGCTTGGGGGGTGAGAGCTCCCCAGCCAGCCCGCCAAGAAGCTCCGAAGCCAGGACGACTCTGCGAAAGCAGAGCGAGAAGCTGCGATCCGATCCTACTTTTAAAAAGTGAGTTTGACTGATTACAAGCGCAGGCAGAGCGGAAACAGGAGAACAAGCCTTAAAAGTACAGAGTTTAACTCCGAAGTTACTTTGTTTCAAACTGAATTTCATTGAGCTGGAGGCTGAAGATGGCGTCTTTGTTATGGTTTTGAAAGTGAAAGCCAGAAACGAAAGTGCTTATTGAGAACTTTGCGCTGGGAGAGTGGATTAGCTGCTTATTAACTGCTGGGAAGTGAGAGCTTGTGGAGAGAAAAAAAAAACAAAACTATCCTGCCTGATAAATTTGAGACTATAAATTACAAACATTTTAAAGTTGTTTAAGGGTCTTTGTGGCTTTGGAAAAAAAAAAGATCTCTTTAGAAGGGGAAAAAATGGCTTCTAAACAAGTGAAACCAGGAGTTGTTAAAGGAGGGGGAGGTTCTCCAGTTGTGTCAGTGGTGACACAGAAAGCACAACTTCCGGCTGATTCACAGAGTCAGAGTCAGAGTCAGGAGGCAGCACTTAATGATTTTAAAGAATTTATGAAAGAAGCCATGAATAATCAAGCAACAGCAATGAAAGAAGCTATGAATAACTTAACATTACTTGTGGAAGGGAAATTAAAGAAAGTTGAGGAGGATATAAGTTCAATTAAGAAAGTGGTTGCAGAGAAACACGATGAAATAAGAGATGATATTGTTTATGCTGTATCAGAATTGTCAAACCTTGTTATCCAGCTTGATGGGAAAGTTGAAGAAATTAATCAAGCCAATTTAAATTTGGAAAGCAAAATGAGAGATGTTATGACCAGAACAGAGAAAGTGGATGATGAATTGGTAATGTTACAATACAGGTCCATGGAGTTTGCTTTGAGATTGAGAGGCCTGAAAGAAAATAGTAAAGAAAATTTAAAAGATATTTGTGCTGATGCTATTGCAGAGATAATTAAAGAAAGACCAGAAGATGTGGCAAGCCAAACTGATAAAATTTACAGGGTTAATTCTTGGCTGGCAAAACAAAGACAGCTGCCAAGAGATGTGGTGATCTATTTTACAACCAGGAGGATCAGAAACGATATTTTACAAGCTTCCTACAAGAATAAAGTTCAGGTAGCTGGGCAAGAGGTGGTGGTTTTGAAAGAGATTCCTCCAAAGATGCTGAGAAGTAGAAAAGACTTTGGCTTTTTGGTAAATGAGCTGAGAAATCAACAAGTGGCATACAGATGGGACGTTCCAATTGGTCTAATAGTGACTTATAATGGAGAAAGATACCGGTTAAACACAGTCTGGAAGGCAAAAGACTTCTATGTAAATGTTTTAAAGGCTGGATACCCACCCTCACTGGAGGGGTGGGGGAGGAAGAAAATGGAGATGTTACAACAAGAAAAAGATGGAAAACAGATACAAACCTACGCTGAAGTTGCAGCTGGAGGAATTATCATGGAAGAAAATTTGGATCTTGGGGGCTTACCTCCAACTTTGGAACCACCTAAGAAGGGAGAGCCGAAAGTACAAGGCCTGACCCGATCAACTTATAAACTTCAAGAACAACAATCAAAAAGGCAACAATCTCAAGATTTATCTCAAGAAGTTCAAAAAACAGAAGCAGTGGAGGGGGAGCTAGGCCGAAGAGTAAGGTGGAGGAGGAGCTTCAGCTGATGCTCATACGGCTTCAAAAGGCTAAAGATGGCAACTAAATTCCTATCTTGGAATGTCAATGGCCTAAATTCACCACAAAAAAGAAAGAAAGTATTTCACTACTTGAAACAATTTAACAATGACGTTATTTGCTTGCAAGAAACACATATTAGATTATTAGATCAAAAATATTTGATAAATTCAAGATTAGGTACACATTTTGTGGCATCAGCGCCAGAGAAGAAAAATGGGCTAGTCATACATGTAAGGAAAGGACTATCAGCTAATCTAATTGAGGCAGATGATCAAGGAAGATATATTGCAATTGAATTATCAACACAGACTGGAAAAATGCTTTTTATTGGAATATATGCCCCTAATCAGCAACAAGACAAGTTTTATAAATTTCTACATACTAAAATAATACAATAGGATTATAAATCTTTTATATTAATGGATGACTGGAATGGAGTAATAGACACACAGAAAGATAAAAAAAAAGTTTATCAAAGACTTCAGCACGTGCAAAATTACCTAAATCTTTTTTTGATATGATGGAAGATATAGAACTGAGAGATATTTGGAGAGAACGTAATGTGGAGGAAAAAGATTTTACTTTTTTTTCTGATAGACATCAATCCTTCTCCAGGATTGATTTTATACTAACCACAAATGATTTTATTTCCAGGGTGAAGAAGACGAAGATATGTCCAAGAACTTTAACTGATCACAGTCCGGTTTGGTTGGAATTTGAACAGGAAAGGGGAGAAAGGAGGTCTTGGAGGTTAAATGAAAATTTATTTAGATATGAAGAAAATGTGAAGGAGCTTAAAAAACAAATGAAAGAATTTTTTGTAATTAATATGAATAAGGGAACTTCCATGGAAATGGTCTGGAATGCTAGTAAGGCTTATATGAGGGGTATGTTAATACGCATGAATAATAAACATAGACTAAAACAACAAAAGAAGTGGAAAGAGATAGAGGAAGAAATAAAAAAGAAAGAACAATTATTTATATTTAATCCAGGAGACAAGAAAGTAAAAGAAACAATAAATATATACTACGAGGGCAATTTAGTATGTTAATGGCTGATCAGGTGGCAACTAGCTTACAATATGCTAAACATAATACATTTTGTAATGCCAATAAACCAGGTAGGTGGTTGGCCTACATGTTGAGGAAAAAACAGAAATCACAAGTCATTGGTAAGATAGAATTTAGAGGTAAGCAAGTTTACCAACAGAATATGATCAAAAGGCTTTTTTAGAATTTTATACAAAGTTATATGCTAGTGACTCAATACAAGGTATAGATATAGATACTTAAAGGAAGGGAATATTCCTGAATTAACGTTGGAACAGAGGGAAGGATTGAATCAACCAATAACTTCTGATGAGATTACTGATGCAATTAAGCAATTAAAAATAGGGAAAGTTCCGGGAACAGATGGATTAACAGCTGTTTATTATAAGAATTTACAGCTTGAAATGATAGAACCGCTTAGAGTTCTATTTTGTAAAATTCAATTAGGGGGAGGAGTCTCACCCTCTTGGAGAACAGCTTTTGTTTCACTGATTCCGAAGGAAGATCAAAATTGTACTAAACCTGAAAATTTTAGGCCAATTTCACTTTTGAACACGGATTATAAAATTATTGCTAAGGTATTAGCGAATAGACTAATGCCAGTTATGCAACAAACAATTCATAATGATCAATCAGGCTTTATAAAAGGGAGGCAAATGAAATATAATGTTAGACAAATTATAAACCTATTGGAATATCTGGGAAAAAAAAACCAGGTCCCTGCAGCGTTCATATTCTTGGATGCAGAGAAAGCATTTGATCGATTGAATTGGCAATTCCTGTTTAAGATAATAGAAAAAATGCATTTTGGGGAGTATTTTATACATTCAATTAGAGCAATATATCAGGAACAAACAGCACAAATAATAGTTAATGGAGGTTTAACAGATGTGTTTAAAATTGAGAAAGGTACTAGGCAGGGTTGTCCCTTGTCACTTGTTGTTTATTTTAACTTTAGAAGTTTTGTTGAATAAGTTACGTGACTCTGATAAAATAAAAGGAATTGTAATTAGACAGCAGGATTATAGATTAAGAGCGTTTGCAGATGACCTGGTTGTTACTTTATCTCAACCTATAGAAGCGGCTCCCTATATGTTGGACATAGTAGCTCAATATGGCAAAGTATCTGGATTTAAAGTAAATATTCATAAGACAAAGATGATAACTAAAAATATGTCCATAACTCAAAGAGAAGACTTAGGGAGAATAACAGGGTTTGAAGTAGTTAAAAAGGTTAAGTATCTAGGAGTATATATTGCAGCCTCAAACACGAAATTGTTTAAAAATAATTATGAAATTCTTTGGCAAACAGTACAGAAAGAAATGGAAAATTGGAAAAAGTTACAACTATCATTACTGGGAAGGATAGCAGCAATAAAAATGAATGTACTACCTAGGTTTTTATTTTTGTTTCAAATGATACCAGTGCTTAAAAAAGATGGAAATTTGATGGAATGGCAGAAAGGGGTTAATACTTTTATTTGGGCCGGGAAGAAGCCAAGAGTGAAACTGAAAATGATACAGGATATACGTGAGAGAGGAGGTCTTAAAATGCCTAATTTAAGATTGTATTATGAAGCAGCTGCTTTATCACAAATTAGTGATTGGTTTAACTTAACTGAAGAAAGAATGTTAAACATAGAAGGTTATGATTTGTTATATGGATGGCATGCTTATTTGTTATATGAAAAAAAAGTGGATAAAGTGTTTAAGGGTCATATACTTAGAAATGTGTTGTTGAGGGTTTGGAAAAAGTACCAATATAAGCTAAATTATAAGATACCTATATGGGCAAATCCCAGACATGCAATAGAAAATATAAGTATAGAGCAAAAAAAAGAGGTGATTTATAAAGAGCTTCTTTTTTTGGAAAGGGGTAAGTTGCAACTGAAATCTTTAGATGAATTAAAAGAAGAAGGGATAATTTATACTTGGTTTCAGCATGGTCAGCTTCAAGCTAGATGGAGGGAAGATCAAAAATTTGGTGTTATGCAAAATGAGGAAAATCTGGTGAAACAGATTAGAGATCAAAGTCAGATGCATATTAAAAGGTTGTATAATGCATTATTGGAAATAGATTCAGAAACGGAATTGGTTAAGGATTGTATGATAAAATGGGCACAAAACTTTCAGGAACCAGTGATGATGGAAACGTGGGAAAAGATTTGGGTCAGAAATGTTAAATTTACGCAAGCACAAAATTTGAGAGAGAATTTTTATAAAATGTTTTATAGATGGCACTTAGATCCTAAAAAATTATCATGTATGTACTCGAATTTGCAAGCTAAATGCTGGAGATGTGAATGTAATGATGCAACCTATTATCATATATGGTGGACCTGTAAGAAAATCAAGGCATTTTGGGTAAAAATTTGGTGGGTGATGCAGAATATTCTGAAAAGAAGGTTGAAATTTACTCCTCAATTGTTCCTATTGGGTATAACTATGGACTGTACAGTATCAGAGACTAAATTGATTTTGAATTTAATATCAGCAGCTAGGCTGTTGGTAGCACAATATTGGAAGAAGGACTCTTTGCCTACTATTGAAGAGTGGATACTGAAAGTAACGAACCTAGCAGAAATGGCGAAAATCTCAGCATACTTGAAGGACTATACACAAGAAAGATATGTATCGGAATGGAGAAGATGGATTGATTATATTCAAAATAAGTATCAGACAAGAAAATATCAAATAGCTTATGAATGAAAGTTAAGTATTAGAAGTATTATGTTATCTATAGTGGAGTTAAGGTTTCAGGGGGGGAGTTAGTAGTCTGAGGATAAGTAGGTTAATCTAGTGTATGATTGTTAAATGAAATACCTTGTATTTTGCTCTGGGAAGTCTGGGGGGGAGGGTGGGATGAGGGGAGGGAAAGGGTGGGGGGAACATGGGGGGGGGGGAAAAGAAAATTCTTGTTTTTTTGTAAAACTTTTCAATAAAAAAACAAAAACAAAAAAAACTCCAACAATGCAAAGAAGTCCGGCTCACAAACCCCGCGGGAGGAGCTGCTGGGCCAAAGCTTCAAGAATGATGAGCTGCAATCAGCCATTCGGAAATCAGCCCTTCCTCCTGAATCCAAGTCAGACTCTTTACCTCTTTCTCCCTCGTGGCCCGTTAGTGCCATGTTGGGGCAGCGGCTCTGCACAGCCTCCCGTGGGCTGGATACCAACGGTCTGGGACGGCCCTTTGGGCAAGACGCTGGCTATTCGTTCCATTATATGGAGAGAGGATTTTTATCATTTTGTATTTTGAAAAATATGCACTTTCTTATTCATGATACTGTAACCCTGGTCGTACTTGAGGTGAAGGACAAATATATACAGATAGTCCTTGACTTACAAACAGATCTGAGGCTGTGATTTCAGTCATAAGTCAGGATGATTGTAAAGTGGGTCATCATGTGACCAAGCCTTTACTCCAATGGTTGTTATGAAAACCCTTTGTTCACAATGGGGTGAGATTTTGCCACAAACCGGAAGTAAATGTCTCTTTTTGTTTCTGGAAAAAACATAGTGAACTGCAGGCAGGTGACTGCAGGATGCCACAAATGGCTGTAACGGCGGGCCTTGCCAAGTGACCAAAACACGATCATGTGACTGGCGGGGAACAGAACTTTGGGTCGCAAGTCCCTTTTTAGGGGCCCATCGTAACTTTGGTCGCTAAAGACTGGCCATAAATTAAGGACTATCTGTCATCAGCCTCTCTGGCTCCCAAACCTAATAACCCTTTTCCTCTGGCTCAACACTCTATTCAAGGAGGAGGAAGAAAGCCTCCTCCTCCTCCTCCTTCCTGAACAGTGTTGAGCCAGAGGAAGGGATGCCCTTCCCCGCAAAGGGCCAGACGATGCCTGGAAAATTCCTGGAATGAGCTGCCACCTTGGGCTCTGAGAGGGGGGGCATTGGTGTGGGGGGGAAGGAGAAGTTAAGTTAGGCTATGACAGTTTTCTCAGCTGGCATCAGGCAGCCTTGGGTACCTTGAGAGTACGGTTATGTCTTTGTAGCTCCCGGCACAGGCTTTCCAGTTTGGTGCGAGCCAAAACGGCCTTGTTGTGCTCACTTCGGAGATGGTCCTTCTCTTGCACCAACTGAGTCTGCTTCTTCTGCAAGATTTTCATCTGCTTCTGAGAGTTTCGGTGCTCCTCCAGCTGATGGGACAGAAGGGGAGGAAGAAAAATAAGGAATGAGTACATCATGTAGCAGAAATGACTGAAGAATCTCCATGAAAAATGAGAATGTAAGGTGATGTCAAAAAAGCCAGTACTTTAGCAACAAAATTGTCAGCCCTTTCAGGTAAGCCAGACATGTAAAGGAGACACCCTAATATTGAACTCTACTTTATTGAGGTAGGCAGGAATAGCAGAGCATTTAAAGCAGGACATTGTTACTCCTTTGCTTGCTCCCTTATACTCGGGTAACAAGATCCAAGGAGGGATCAGAGTGGGGTTTTTTTCTCACGCTAACCTGTCTTCCCTGGCTGAGCTCATGTTTGTAAAGTTCACCACGTATGTTCTACAACAGTGTTTCTCTACCCAGTGAGTTTAAGATGTGTGGACCAACCCCCAGAATTCCCCAGGCTTCTTAAAGTTGTCAAGATTGAAAAACAGGCTTTACGATTGTGGAGGAGAAAGGTTCTGACAGAGGCATCCCTTTCCTGCTGTTAATGTGTTTCCTTCTTTGATTTGCTCTGCCTTTGCCAACCAAACAACCCGACTGTTCAGTAATTCAGCAAGCCTGCTGGGGAAGGAGGGCGGCTGATATCAGCCAACATATCTAGAGTGAATCAGAATGGAGATGGCCCCTTTTACTGAGGTATAATTATCTAGACACTAGTTATTTTCAGTCTACATTCCCCTGGAATATGCATAAATGCAGACATGTTACGTTAAATTAATCAGCCTTTTTAAATCATCATTCATTGCTAGGTTTTTCTGAACATGGATGCTAACACAAAACACAGATCTGTGTTCTAGAACTGTGTTCCAGATTATTTTCTCTCTTGCAGCTGCCCAAGTGACGATGATCTGAAGGCATGCAACTCCCCTTGGGGGCAACCCATTTCCCTGCATACATGGCAGAGGAGAAAATTCTCCAGCCTGCTCAGTTGCCTCTCCAGCCTTGCAAGGCACTGACCAGTTCCGCGTATTTTTTGCAGAGGGCTGCCAGCTTCTCCTCAGATGTACTGAGGGTGTTGAGGGTCTGCATCAGAAGAGTGATCTCCTTGCCTGGAAACAAAGGACAAAGCAAAATCTCATCAGAGCAAGCATAAAGACATGGTGGCAGGGCAACATTACAGAGCTGGAAACAGCAACGGCTTAGGAACTAAAAAGGCTCTAGAATGTGGGAAATAAAACTAGACATATTCCAGTTACAGACTACTATAATTGCTCAAGCTAAGGTAGCTGGGAGCCTTCCTATATTTTAGTTACACAACCACCTCAAGAGGCAGGTGGCTTGTGGAATGCCAAAAATCACCCCAAATGATTTAATATGGGTTGCCCCATCCAAGATTAACATTTTAACTGCTAATGCTCTCCTTGCAAGTTTCCTTAAAGATACAGAGAGCTGGGATGATTTAGCAACTGGAGCTGGGTGTGTGTAAAAGGGTAGCCTTTCTGTGCATACATCCCTTCCCCAGACCTCCTCATTGTCTGCTTTTTGGAAGAACAAAGGGAATGCAGGCCTGTCAGCAGAGAACTTCCTACCAAGCCCTCTGGGCTTCTTTTTCTCCTGGACTCGTTTTTGGTCACGCTCTCCACTCTCATCACCAATTCCCCTGGGACCCTCCTTTTCGCCATTTATCTCAGGGCAGCTCTGCTCCTGGTCCCCGTTCCGGGGGGACTCGCTTCGGCACTTCTCTGGTTCGTCCAGCTCCACAGACTCATTCTGGCCGTTGTCCTCTCCAGGCCCTTCCTGGTTGGAGTCCCTGCAATAAGTGCTCAGAATATCCTCCAGCTGTCTGCTCAGCTCTTCAGAAACATCGGGGACTGGCTGGCAAGGCAAAGCCTCCTCTGCCAGATGTGCTGCAGATGGTAGAAAGCACCATTCAACATTAAGAGGGGAGAAGTCCAAAGAAGAAAACAAAAGTCAGAACACAGCTGTTGAGAGAATTAGTTAAGGATAGGGTAAGAATCATCCCTCAAATGATGGTGGCGCCCCAAATTCTACATTTAAAGAGAAATAAAACTAGTCAATCTCAGGGAAACAAACCCTCTTCTTTCTTCCTCTGCTCCTCGTTCACTGGCATTTCAAGCCTGTCATCAGCAAAGTGTTTCAAGCCAGAGAGGCCAAGTTGGTGGCGACAATCTCCACTTCCTACAATCCCTCCAGGAGCCTCGGCTAAGTCACTATCTTCTGGCCCCAGAGCATCCCTTATTTGGGGAGGGCTGGGGGGTAGAAGAGAAGCTTTGCTTTCACCATCTTGGTTCTTCATTGTACCTCGCTTTCAAAGCCACTTTTGGCAGTTTCTATGTAAAACAAAAACAATTTTGAGATGGTTATTCGCTGTCAAGCAACAGCACACATGCAAATAAAGACTAAATAAGAAGTAGAACAGCCAAAGGAACACTAATGTTATAGCCAACAAGTGGCAATTTTAACAATTGTTTGCTTTCCACAAATTAGTACCTATTGCTGCAACACATTGCAGAATATCAGTGATTGATCAACCGGTTGCCTAGGAAGTAGTATGACCTCAGATCTGGTGAGTTCTTGTAACTGGGAACTGCACTTATTTTGGCAGAAGAATATCACAAAGTGAGTAAAGACATGACACGCACTCGGACAGTATCAGAATATCTGCATCTTTTCCTTGAACTGAGGGGATTCTTTTTTAAAGTTCTTGCATTTCATGGCTCTATTTCTCTGCCAAGGATTTAAAGCATAGGATTCCTTGGGCCACAAAGAAAGACCACAGGGCTGGTCCCCAGGGCAAAGGTGAGGTTAGTCATTTGCCATTGTCAGCACTTTGGAGACTCACAAATTCAGGGATCCTCTTAGTCGCTTTACAAGCATCAAAAAGTGAAGGCGAGCTCACTTCTGCACAAGCCCCACAAGGGACGGATCTCAGTAAGAGTCTGTGAGTCTTCCAAGTATTTAGAGACAACCTCCCCCCCACCCTCTCCAGGGAGGTCTTTCTGGATCCGCCTCCTCGGCCACTCCAAGGGGAGCCCAACCTCTTCTGCAACTCTCTTTTCCCCAGCCCCCGGCGCCCCCCTTTTCTCCTGCACCCCAAGCCCACTCCTGAAATAGCCCTTTAACGCTCCTCCTATTTCCACCCCCCACAAAGTTCTCAGCCCCTCCCACACAGCCAGGACCCGTTCTTCCGGCGTTGGCGGGCGGGGGGGGGGGGGCGTGCCCCTGGGGGGGGGGGGGGGCGCCCCTGTTAAGGGGGGGGGGGGGGGTTCCCCCCCCCCCCCGGCCCGCGCCCCCCCCCCAGGCCACGCCCTCCTCCCGCCCCCCTCCGCTCTCGCCCCCCCCTCCTCCTCCCGCGGGAAGCTCCACAGGCTTCTCCCCACCGTATATCACGTCACTCCCTGCCACCGTGACGTCACGCCCGAGAGGTATGACGCGTTCGAAGCGACTCGGCGAACCAGAGGACCACCTGCTCCGGCCCTCCGCTGTCCTGGCGCGGCTGCTGGGCCGCCTTCTCCCCGCTGCTTCGTGGCTCCCGGGTTCTCGTTCCAGTCTCTCTCCGCTTAGCGGCTCCTCAACGCTCCGCAGGGTTGCGAGGAAGCAGCTCCAGCCCGGACTCGCACTGCGCCTGCGCCGCTAACGGTCAGCGGCCAATCAGCGGGAGGGACCGAGAAGAGCATGCTGGGAAACGTCGGAAGAAAAAGCGCCACCCGAGGCGGGAATCTGAATTGGACTACAACTCCCGGCGATCCTCATTCTCCGCGAAGGAAGCGGGTGGCCCGAAACCACAATTCCCAGCATCCCTCGGGGTGGAACCGGTTTTTTGCTTACCGTGAGGAGACTTCAGGCGGTAATAATAATGATGCATTTGCAACAGGCTTCATTTGGAATAAAACAGTGATCTGACCCTAGTCTAAAGCAGGCATGAGCAAATTTCATCGTGCGCCGCCGGTCGGGCTCGCCTCGAGGCCCCGCAGGATCCGCTCCGGCCAGGCAGGCCCGAGGCTGCCTCCACCCCCCTTTTTTTTAATCTTTTTTTTTCAACATGGCCTTGAGAAACGAATGGACAAAACGCCTCAAATGTTGTGAACCTGTGTTTTTTTAAATTTTAAAACTTCAAAGACGGCTGAGAGAATTCTGGGAATCTTAAACTGGCAGGTTTGAAAAAAACTGCACAAACAAAACCGTTTGGAAACAAAGAAACAATTAAGAAAAAGCGAACGGAAAAAGAATCCTAACAACCAGGATCCATCTATCTTCATCCATCCACCCATCCATGCTTCTTTCTTGCTTTGGCAATCCTGCCTGGGGAATTCTGGGATTAAAGAACCCCGCACACCTCAAAGAGGACCAAAAAAAAGGGGATCTTTAGGATTCTTTTGTATGGGTCATTTCAAAAAACGGTTACATATATTCCCATGGAGAGGTTTCTGTTTAATGCCTTCATCCTCGGTGACAATCGTTGGTTTTTTATTCCAGTAATAATGTTTCTTATTGGTTTAGTATGTTGTTGATCATCCAGAGTTGTGTGTGTGAGATGGGTTGCCATAGAAACCAACTTAATATGCCTTTAGAGCATTGCCAGGCATCTCCCTGTTCTAGAACCGTAATGTTCAGGTTAGCAAAAGGACTCCCAGCAGTCCTGAGCATCGCATAATCCCAGGAGCGCATATTAATCAGGAAGAGGTGAGAGCCCAAGGCAAGGAGGCTGGCGGGTAAGAGCCATGGCGAGTGGGGGGTCAGATGCCATGGACAGGTGCTAGAGTGTGCGGGCAGGGGTTCATCTATTCACGGACAGGAGAGCAGGTGCACCTGACTAGGAAGGTGCTGGGACCAAGAATTCTGCACCAGATGCCACCCCCAGCAGAGCCATCCTCCTGCTGGGCAGCAAGGCGGGGACATTTGTGCAAGGCCTCTCCTGCATGTGAAGGACAGGATGCACAGCAGTGATTCTTGGGGGCGACTCTGGTGAGAGCTGCCAAAGGTCAGATAGCAGAGGAGGTCATAAATGCGGACCAATTGCCACGTGCCCAAATTTTGAACCCATGACAGCAGGAATGTGCAACAGCCAGAACTTCTAAGACAGCCATCCATTTTTTCAGCACTGTTCTAACTTTGAATGGATGCTGAACCAATGGACACAGCCTAAGGATTACCTATATTATCTTTAGATAAGTTGCTTTATATGAGGATCTCAGCAATTGTTATTTCCCTCCAATTTTAATATAGTTTTGTTTAATACATTTTTCCACAAAAATCGTTTTCATGGTGTTTACATATCTGGAACAATCCCTCCCTGAGCTCCAAGGCCTTTCTCCTGAGTGGGCAATGAACTATGGTTTATGGTGGGGACCAACTGGTGATTGTAAGTTTCCCCAGATTGTCACATCCCTGGCCTAACACCAGGTGTTAGATGTTTCTTTTTTCTTTTTGGGAGCATATATATCTTGAGGGTGGGGGATATCAGCATCTTCATGGCCGTTGGTCATTCTCTAATTTGGGCAGAGCTGACTGGTGCTACATTGGCAGGATCAGTCTCTGTAGGGGCATGTCAGGATTAGGGTTAGGGTTAGAAATATCCCAGATATTTCTGCAGGGATGCTGGCTTTTTGGTGGGAGGAAGAGGGGAGGAATGGAATGATCTGTATATGAAGTTTCTTTTTCTGTTTCTTGCATTACTGTGTTAATCTCTGTATGAAGTTTCTGTTTCCCTGCAATGATGTAGTGTGGGAGGGGTTTGGTTAGCATTGCTTTTAAATAGCTGGTTTTAAGTGAGAAGCTTCAGTTCTTGCCTAGATTTCTTGTAATCACAAACCTTTCAATAAAATCTTTTGGAACAACTGCAATTTCAAGAGTCCTGCTTCCTTGGGAAGATTGGAGAGGCAAGACCTTACATTAGACAAGAACTGCAAACTAGTCAACCTGGAGAGGTAACAGCCCTACTGTGAGGACCGTGCACACCATGTCTGCCCAGGACAGTGGCCACAAAGAGGCTGAAGAGCGGGGGGAGAACCCTACTCCCAAAAACCTCAATTGAGGCCCTCAATGCCTGGGTCGAGGAGAACATTGCCTCAAGCACTGCTGCCAAGCTGAGGTGGTCCATTAGTGTTGGGAAGATGGAAGGCTGGGGTGGCAGAACCAAAGATGTCACCCTCACCCGTGGGAGCCAACGATCTGGTTGGAAGCAGGAGATGGGACACTTTTACGACAATGATGAACTGGAAGGAACCACAGACTGGCCTAACCAACTCCTGACGGAAGCCATGAACCCCATGAGGGAGGCCATCCATGGCATGCGGATCCAGGATGACCAGGCTTGCGCTGCAGGCCAGTTAGGAGTACAAAAGGGGACTACTGATGAACGAAAGGGATCCCCAACCCCAGGGGCATTGGCTGAAACCATGGGGGCTACTGATGAATCCATTTCCACCATGGAAGATCCATCTAGGAGACATCTCAACACAAAGCAAGGCTTGCGACTTGACGAGGTTTCCACCCTTAGAACGGAAAGCGTCTTGGCGTCAAATTTGACGGGAATCCCCAGCAACTGGGATTTTTCCTCGCACACGTACTGACCTACTTGCAGGAGTATGGGAGGAATCTCCCTACAGAAGGCACCAAATTCAGGGTTGTCACCCTGGCTCTAGAAGGATCAGCTGTGCATTGGATGGTGAGCCTCCATAATGTAGATGCACCGGAGCTCTGCAACTTCAACCGTTTCATGACAGCCCTGAGATGGAGATTTGAGGACCCGCTAGCCGACTGCAAGGCTAAACACCGCATAAGGCACATCAGACAGGGACGCCGTCCAGTCACTGAGTACATCAAAGAGTTTCGTAATCTGACTTGCCACATAGATTGGCCAGAAGAAATACTCATGAGTTGGTTCAAAGATGGCTTAAAAGATGACCTGTACAACACCTCCGTTGCCCGTGGAGCCCCAGTCTGCCTGCATAGCTGGTGTGTCTTGGCTGAGGAAGCGGAAATTGACCAAGCTCGAAACCAGTACCACGCAAACTGCTCCTGGAAGAGATCCCCGCTGGAAGGGAGAAGGGAGGAAACCAAATCTTGCTCTGCTCAACCGTGCTCAGCTGCCTGCTTCCATTGCTGGAAGGATGGTCACCGTGCAAACGAGTGCCATGTGAGAATGTCCACCCATGTTAAATCACCCTGGGGGAGGGGCCAGCTGTCGGTCCGAACAGGTGTGTGAATGGGTAGCTCCGCAACACACAGCCAGTTTCCAACCATCTGGTGGGCTTTTTAAGTTGAGGAGGGTCCTGGAGGGACATCCGAAGAAGAGGGGCATTCTGCAGATCGGGAACGGATCATGCGCCATATCGGGAAGCAGGCGAATTCCTCGGAGACCGGACATGGAAGAAGACGACCAGCAATGGCCATCCAGAAGAACTGACAGCTGGACAAAATAAGCGAGAAGCAAGCGGAACAATGGTGGATCAGATCTGGCTGAAATCAGTTTTGATCGTTGAAAGGGAAGATTAAAAGTTGAATGCTTTCGAGGGGATCCTCTGGTGGATCAGAAAGAGAAACTGCTCCAGCTAGAAGGAGGGGTGGAGAGGATTCCCCCTCCCAAGGGAAGAACAGCAAGGAGACATGTGGGGAAAAGATAAGATAAGATCCAGAAAGAAAAGAAGGCAAGGGAGAACAAGATCGATTGCAATAGCAGGAAATACTATCTTGTACACTGGATTAAATAAAAGGTTTCTATTTGGATTTTTAAATAGCTGGGAGAAGAAGATTTGGATAGTGACAGTGGGAAGAGTTAACAGTTTGAGAGTTTGGTGAACAAAATGGACTCCCCCTTGGACAGTGATGGCACTTTTTCGGAATAGAAGTAGCAGGCAGGGAGATACCTGCTGGTCAAGGAGGGAAAGTATTTGTGGAAGATATTTGTTAAAGTGGAAACTTGAAAGAAAAAGGATTTATATTGGCATTTAGAACTGCATCTGCGGACAATTGAATATCTTAAAGCAAAAGAACATTTAATTAAAGCAGAGGGACATTTTGCAACATCTTAGAGCTAAACTGGAGGACATTAAAATTGTGAGAATTTGGAACTATCAATATTTTTGTCAATTATCTTATTAATATATTATGTCCATTAAGTGTTAAGAATCAAAAGTATCATTATTACTACGATTAGTAGCAACATTGCTGAGGTTGTCAGTGATACAGAACAATTGTGAATTGTTATAAGCTTTGTTACTGCTCCCAATATTGACCTAGGACTGTGAAGTTTAACATTGTTATACTTTTATACAAAAGCTAAGTATATATATAAAATAACGAACTATAACATTAATAATTTACTATTATTGGAGAGGTGGAGGTCTATATTGGCGGGAAGAGAAAGTGGGAGAACTTGATAAAAAGTGATTTTATGAAGAAGCTGTTAAATAACTGTCTGGTTTGACTCTGCAACCCAACAAGACAGACACAGACTTCAGAGGATAATTAGAACTGCAGAAGAAACAATTGCTACTAACCTGCCTTCCACTGAGTGCCTGTATACTGCACAAGTCAAAAAGAGGGCTGTGAAAATATTTACAGACCCCTTACATCCTGGACATAAACTGTTTCAACCCCTACCCTCAAAACAACGCTATAGAACACTGCACACCAGAACAACTAGACACAAGAACATTTTTTCCCAAATGCCATCATTCTGCTAAATAAATAATTCCCTCAACACTGTCAAACTATTTACTAAGTCTGTACTACTATTAATCTTCTCATCATTCCCACCACCCATCTCCTTCCACTTACGACTGTATGACTGTAATTTTGTTGCTTATATCCTTATGATTTATATTGATATTGTTTGCTGATTGCTTATTTGTACCATATGACTATCATCAAGGGTCGTACCTTATGATTCCTGATGAACGTATCTTTCCTTTTATGTACACTGAGAGCATATGCACTAAGACAAATTCCTTGTGTGTCCAATCACACTTGGTGAATAAAAAATTATATTTTATTCTATATGATGAGTGTTACAAATTTAACGAACATTGGGACAGGGAGGAAACAAGGCACCCAGGCAGCAGGGGCATTATCGAGCCCATCAGGCCAACGATCGATTGAGGAGATGGAGCAAAGGGAGAGATCAAATTCGTTTAAAGACTTACAAGCCATGTTGCAAAACATGCAAGAAGCAATGATGCGAAACCACAGCGAACTGAAGAAAAAGGTTGGGGAAGTAAGGAATGATACAGGAGAATTAAAGGAAAAGATGCAGATGATGGACAGAAAATTTGAAGCCTTTCAACAACAGATCACGAAAAACAAACAAAAATTACAAGAAATGGAAGTAAGAATGGAGAAAGAGGAAAAAAGAGTGGACAAAATTAGCGAAAATAGGGAACTGGAAAATAGGGTCTTATTTTTAGAATCTGAAAAATCAGCCCATTATTTATGTTTCCAGAACGTTAGAGAAGAGAGAGGAGAAGATCTCCCGGAAATTATGGCGGAAATACTAGGAAAGCACTTGGAATAGGAAAAGAAGAGATGTCAACGGAAATAGACGAAATGTAGAGTTCAGACAAATTACGCAAGACATAATTTACCAAAAGAAATGCATGTCAGAATGGTGAAGAAATCAATTTAGGATGAAATATTGCATAGGACATAGGACCCAAAACATTCTTTAAAATGGTGGAGGAACAAGATAAAAGATATTTAGAGAGAGAGAGATCAGGACATAAACCAATATACATACTATTCAAATAGACATAGATCATGGACCAGAATCTATATGGTTTGGATGTCAACGAAATTACAATCCAATGTGAAAGAAGTCAAAATTGATATGAATCTTTGGGCGGACCATAATCCTATGAAAATTAGTCTGATAGAAGAAGAGGGAAACAAGGTGGATACTAAAAAGATCGATTTTAAAGGATGAAGAATTCAAAATAATGATGGCCAAACAATAAAGTTTCTTCTTTAAAGAAAATTAAAAAAATAAGTCCATACAAATTTATGGGACACAGCTAAGGCATACATGAGGGGAGTTGCCATATCTTATATGGCAAAAGAAAATAAAATGAAAAAGCAAAGATGGAATTGCCTGGAAGAAGAATACAAAAGATTGGAGGAGATATTACAAGATGAGCTGCAAAAGGGAAATATAAAACAACAAATTAAACATAAATTGAATCTACTTGAGAAAAAAGATCTGGCACAACAGATAAAAAGGACAAACCAATTTTTTTTTTTGAAAATACCAACAAACCAGGTAGATGGTTAGCATATAAACTGAAAAAACAGATTGAGAAGAGATGGATCAATAAATTACAAGATGAAAAGGGGAACATACGCTACCAAAATGAGGAGAAAAAAAACCAGGAGTTTTATGAGAAATTGTACAAAAGACTGACTGCCACACAGAAGGGAGAATCTTGAGAAAGCGGAACTACCAAAAATCCCAGAAGAAATAACGATGTTGGAATTAATGGAGGCGGTCCAAAAACAAAAAAATAACAAGACACCAGGCCCAATAGAATTATATAAAGAAATGCAAGTAGGACAAGTCTTACTTGAAGTATACAATGCAGTGCTAGGAGAGGCACTGCATTGTCATCTGGGTAGAGGCAAATATTGCGCTGATAGAAAGAATTCAGATAGGACACTAATTAAAAATTATAGGCCCATATCTCTTCTAAATACAAACTACAAGATATTTACATCAATAATAGCCAACTGTCTAAAAAAGTTCCTAAATGAGTTTATTCCAGGAGTGAAATGCTCCCGATTAGGACCAGATCGCCTGATCCCGTAGGGTAGTGGCGGAGGGTGGTTCGGAGAACCGGTAGCAAAAATCCCTGCCCCCCCCCCATGCCCAGCTGAGCCGCACAATCATCAGCCTTTTTTTTTACTTTTAAAAGCATTTTTCTACAACCTCTTAGGCCGAAAAAATGCTTCACTTTGTCATTATGACATACTGCGTGTAGATTAATGAGGAAAAAATTAATTTCAGCAATTGTACAATCAAGCTGCAGCTTAACAAAATTGACAAAACTGAAGGGGGTCTGAATACTTTCTGAATGCACTGTATATAGCAGGGCTGTCAAACTCCCGGCCCGTGGGCTGAATGCGTCATGCGCTGGCCACACCCACACCCGTTTTAGTGAAGGGGGGGGAAATCCCAATATGTCATGTGACGCCGCTATGATAACATGGTTTGACAATAGAATTTCAGATTTGCTCACATCACAAATTTGTAAAAAGGCAAGGCAAAATACCACATTCATCATTAGTTCTTTTCTCTAATGATTCCTAGCATGAAGCTAGTTATTTTCACAGCTTCCACCCATACAGTCAGGTTGGTTTATACACCCATCTACCCAGGTTTTGGTGACTCCTAAATGTCACCAAAAAGTTTTATGGCCAGAGGTGACCTGTTACCTCATTAGTCCATGACAAATCAAGTGGGTAAAGGCCTCGGGTTGGTTTCTGAGTGTTACATTTATATTTGAATAACAAAGGGACCCTGGAGGTCTTCTAGTCCAAACCCCTGTACCATTTCAGGCAAATGGATGTACGGTCTTTTTTTAAAAGCCTCCAGTGAAGGAGTACCCACAATTTCTGAAGGAAATCTATTCCACTGGTTTATTGTCCTATTAGGAAGTTTCTCCTTAGTTTCAGGCAGGGTGGATTTGATTTAAATCGAGTTGATTTAAATCACAATTTAAATCATGATTTAAATCACTAGTAAAAAGGCTTGATTTAAAGCAACTCGATTTAAATCATAATTTTTAAAGAGCAACTGTCATCTCTGCTATTCCTTTGACCCACTGTGGACTCACCGATAGTCCCAGTGTTGCAGAATATACAGCCTCCTGCTACGTAACTAAGCTCCATTTCATGCTGAATAAACTAAATTATTTATGCATCTTAAATAGAAAACTATCTTACGATAGATTTTTCCCCAAAAGTTTTTTATTAAAATAAATTCGATAAAAATAAAAAAATCCGATTTAAATCAAAAAAATCCGATTTAAATCAAAAAAATCTGATTATTTTTTTAAAAAATCATTGATTTTTATCCACCCTGGTTTCAGGTTGCTTCTCTCCTTGCTTAGTTTCCATGCATTGTTTCTTGCCCTGCCTTCTTATAGTTTGCTCCGCTCTTCTTTTGGCAGCCCAACTGGAACACTCAACATGAGGTCCCAAAAGAGGTGTCTATGCAAGTGAAAGTGGCCATCATTAGGCTGGAAAAAAAAACCATCAGAGAGATAGTAAAAATGTTGAGAGTAGCCAAAATTGTTTGGAACTTTCTTAAAAGAAGGAATTAGCTGGAAGGCTCAGCAACACCAAAAAGCCTGGAAGATCAAGGAAGACACTAAAGTGGATAACCACAGAATTCTGTCATTAGTGAAGAAAAACCCTTTCACAACATCTGGCCAAGTCGTGAACACTCTTGAGAAGGTAGCAGTGTCATTGCCAAAGTCTACAGTCAAGAGACAGCTTCACAAATCTAAATATAGAGGCTTCACAGTAAGAACCAGGTCAGTGGTGTTTATTGATGGCCTGACTGCTGGTAACTGTAGTAGGATGAATTCTGAAGTGAAATGGGCTATGAATCTGCTGATTCAGCCAAATGCTGCAAAACTGACAGGACGCTGCTTCATATTGCGGCTGGATAATCACCCAAAACCTACTGACATTTCTCAACCTGGGCAACTTTTAAGGTGTGTGAATTCTGGGAGTTGAAGTCCACACCTCTTAAAGTTGCCTAAGTGGAGAAACACTGACTTATGGTAAAAGCAACCCAATTTGTGAGAGTCCTTGATAAAATCTAATCCTATACCTGACAGTTTATTTGCAACTGTGAAGTTACGATACACTCGGGGGTAAATTTCCTAACGTGTTCTCCTTCCTTCTCTTTTTGAAAGCATCCTAATTTTCCTGAGAAGTAAAAAACATTAGTTTGTAAATAAAGGGATCTTAGATGAATATGGCCATTAAATTTGCATTACTTAAATAGAGCTTCAGAGCTCTCCTGCTGCTTTGTGCAATTTGAACATTTTTTGCTCTCTGGAAAATGTGGTTTAAGCCAAGATATTGAAGTAAAAGATGACAATCCACATGCTGCAGATTCACTAAGAATATAAATTTAACAAACAGTAAATGATATATGGTATTTCCCAATTCCCAATTAAGGTTATTTTCCAGCAATAAACATTTGAGTAAATATGTGAATATGTTTAATGATTTGTAGCATTAATCTTTGCATTCTGGATTATTTTGGAATACGCACATCAGATCTGGAAGCAAAGAAGGTGCTTTGGAGCACGAAGGAAAAGCTGTTGTGTAATTCTTGAAAGGCCAGGCCCATTTCTAGGCCTGTGGAGCCAATGTGCAATCCTGGGGAAAGGCCATGGCAGATGGGTGTTGTGCACATGCCCCGTGCATGGGTTCTGAAGCGCTGCAACAGATCCTAATAAACTGCTCATTGGCTGCAAAGGCAGTGAATGGCCAACGCATAGAAAGGCCTCCGTAGTGTGGGCAGAGAGTGTTCTGGGTCCTCTCTATCAAACAGTGTCATCTAGCAAGGCTCCGCAAGTGCCCCTTCTCTATCGGACAGCCTGCACTCTGGAAGAGCATCCCCATGGTCCCATCCTGCAAGGGCTTCAAAGTCTTTTTAAAATATGGCTTTGCTCAAAGTTAGGTTGTTTATGACCCCTGACCCTGTTGGGGTAGTATTTTAGGCACTTTTTAAAAATTCTAGGGTTTTTTTTTTTTTTTTTTTGCTTTGCCTGTTTTTGCTTTCAATTACATAAGTCACCCAGTTATTTTTGGAGTCATGTACCTTACATCTCTCTCTCTCTCTCTCTCTCTCTCTCTCTCTCTCTCTCTCTCTCTCACACACACACACACACACACACACACACACATTTAAGAGCATGGCATTTCATGGCAAATATTAATTTCTACCAACATGCAGCATCTCAACCTTATTTCAGCAAAAGGGATTTCTTTGACACCTTTGGCCCTTTGAGAGCCAACTCAACCGTGATTCCCAAAAGGCCTTTTATGGTTCCAGGAATGGCAATTGTGACATGGCTGCAAGAAAAAAAAACACATCCTTCAGTCCACTCATGTGTGGATTGCAGTCACTGAATGCAGAGATGAAGTTTATTCAATTTCCTTGGCATTTTTTTAAACAATGAAAAGCAAACCTCTTATTACAAAATACAGCCCAAGGCTTTCATGTTCGACTTCACCCCTGCCTGAATCTCTGCTCTTGAAGGCTTTGAGAACCTCCTTCCCATGAGGGAGAGCAAGGAAAGGGCTGTGCGCACTGTCTGAACTTTCCTTAAGACACCCGAAGGGACCTCTCAGCCACGGGCTTCTCTCTGGAAGGAAGAACCAGCCAGGGGCCAGTCAGTCTCCAACAAAAGCCCGTTCACCAAATTGGGTCACTCGTGCAACAGGCAAAGAGGGGGCCCAAGAGAATTGTAGCTGTGAACTTTGTATAGCCAACTCTCTAGGCCGGCCTGCCCCAGAATATCATCCTCTCTATCAGCACTCCGGAGAATCAGCCCCCCGCCTCCCCAGACCAAATGAGACAAATGTCTACGTGTATATATAATATATAAAAAATACAGAGCTTTGACTTCTTCATTTTGAAGTAAATGTACACGATACAGTTGTGAACAGGAGGTAATTCTGAAAGACACAGGCCATGGGACGGGTGGCATGGAGAGCAGATGATAAGCCCCCCCCCCCCCCGCTCTACCACACCCAAGTCGCCCCCACCCCAGTGGTCCAAAAGAAAGAAAAATTCAAAATAAAATGGCACAAACCAAAAGGCTCCAATGAGTTTTGCAATTTTGTTTCTTCAAGTAAAGATGCACAAAGGGGTTTCTTCTCCCAGTTCACTTCAGTCAGTAGCAAAAGTTAAGTCCACCTAAAAAGGCAGCTGTGCTTTTGAGTTCTTTTTTGTGCCTTCCCCTTAAGACTGGAGCATCAGGAGCTACTGCTCTTTTGGATCTTTAAATTGCCCTCCCCACCTGATAGGGGAAGCCTTCCCAAAGCTTGATGGGACAGTCCAATTCAGCCTGCATCTCTGTGCAGAATTTCTTTTCTTTTTTTAATAGATATATGTAAGTAGAGGAGAGGGAGAAAACAGCAGCAACTTGGCCCAATTCCCCTCAAAAGGTGCTGTTTGGCAAGAGGATGCCCCCCCCCAAAAGACCCCATATGGGCCAAAGTGGTGCATTAGACAAATTAAGAAGAGTCTCTAATAAAAATTAACATGTGCAAATTGTTTTAAATAGTTGAATCCAAGCATCCAGATTAGATTCCTTGGTTACAATTCAGATTATCTTGCCTTCTCCCAGTGGGGGAAAAATCATCTCTCAAGTACCCAAGTGAAAAATCTCATCTGAGGAGAAAAAAATAATACACCACACAAAAAAAGAAACCTGGAGGAAAACTACAAACTAAAAGGCATTTACACCTCCCTCCTCCATCCACTTCAGCACCTGCTTTTTTGACACATTCGTGCAGCACAAAAAATGGGAAGAAAAATAGTGCATAAGTGTATCTCCTCTCCAGAAAAGAGTCAACTGATGCTGCTGTGTGTCGCGAAGGAGAAAGCTGTTTGGCAACGGGTAGAGCGGGCAGGGCCGCTTTCCGTGTGGCAGAGAAGGAAACGGGGCTGGGGGTGGGAAGGCTCTCGCCAGTTGACTTTCCATCAAAGGGAGGGTCTTCTTCCCCTCAACTCCACACACTGGTTATAGCTGGAAACCTTCCATGGGGGCCTCGGGCTGCTGGAAAATGAACTGCTGCTGAGCTTCATCCACTTGGGGGGCCAGAGTGGAGTCATCATCCTCGATGCCAAAGTAGTGTTCGTACAAGTCGAAGGCCTTCTGGTAGATCTCTTGGTTTTCGTGGCTCTGGAGAAACTCTATTTTATCCAGGCCTGAGGGAGAAAGACATCATTTACATGGAGCTCCCTATCAAAGCTCAGGCGGTTTACACAACTGAGCCGTCAAGGGCAGGCAGTCCTCAACGTTTAGTGACTGTTTGAAGCTACAATGGTGCTGAAAAGCACTTTTATGAGCAGACGGCATGCACACCCATTGGTGCAAATGGAGTTGCGTGCGTTCACAGGCATGCCTGCCACTCGCACTAAACGATCTCCTCCACCCCACCCCCCCGATCCCACCCAGCCGGTCCACCAAGCCGGAAAGGTTGGGGACTGCTGGTGTAAGGGGTAGAGGATCATTTTTATTAAACATTGAGGGTTGGGGAAAAAAGGGCAGAGACAGAAGTGAAGTCAGGTGATACCCAATAATACATTACAAAGCTTTTTTTTTTAAAAAAAAAAAAACAATTTGAAAAATTAAAATTTTAGCTTGATGCTGGAAAGGCAACCTCAGGGCATTAGGGACACCCCACTAGGAAGGAATTCCACAAAGGGGAACCTCAACTGAGAGCCCCCTTTTCAAATAGCCACAGCACATGTTCAAGACTCGGCCCTCACCGTAAGCTTCCTCAATGAGGCTGCAGTAGGGGTTGATGCCAGTGCCGCTCTGCTTGGCCTCCTGCTCTCCCAGCCGCAAGATGTTCTCCAGGCCATTCAGGGCCACCTGAACTATCTTAGAGTCCATGACGGTCAAAAGATCGCAGAGGGGTTTAATGCAGCCCAGGTTTACTAAGTATCTGGAAACAAAGCAAAAAAAATCCAGAAGACTAAAACTAAAATTGAACATTCTTGGAGATTAATTTGCTTGCTGAGAAGACATGCCCTCTTCCCCAGTTCCTCTTCTGAAATTCAAGCTACGACTCCTATAGTTAGCAAACTATAAGAGGAAAATAAAGTATTAGGATGCATATACTTGATCCTATGTTTTACTATTTGCCCCTCTTCCCAAACATGGAGGTGTTGTTTATGAGCAACAGATAACTGTGTAATCCTGTAAACAAGGATAAACCATCAGCTGTCATTATTAGACTAGTAAGAGCCATAAAATCCACATGCTATGAAGTGCATGGCATAGAATCCTAGGGCTGGAAGGGACCAACCCCCTACCCAAGGCAGGAGACCTTAGATCATCCCGGACAAATGGTTGACCAAATCTTTTCTTGAAAATCTCCAGTGATGGAGCACCCACAAGTGTGGTAGGCATTAATTAATTGTTATTACTGTCAGGAAATTTCTTTTTAGTTCTAGGTTGGATCTCTCTTTAACAAGCACCCACCCATTGCTTCTTGTCCTGCTCTCTGATGCGTTGGAAAATACTGTCAGTCAACCCCCACTTCTCTGTGACAGCCCCTCAAGTACCGGAAGACAGCTATCATGTCACCCTTGATTCTTCCCTTTGTTAGACTAAACATCCCTAGTTCTCTTAACCGTTCATCCTACAGTTCAGCCTCCAGACCCCTTATCAACTTTATGGCTCTTCTCTGCACTCTTTCTATGGTCTCAGCATCTTATTATGTATCTTGGTGAGCAGAACTGGATGCAGCATTCCACGCATGGCCTCAACATAAAGGG